TGTAAATAGGATCCCTTCTAATTTTTAATTTTCCATATTTTACTTTGTTTAAAGAGAAATATTTTACAACTAGACTGATGCTGAGAAATCACCGTCTCTATTTATATGGTTATAAACCAATTTGATTTAATACATCACTCATACACTAATCATGATTAAATTTTTCACTTAAAGAAAACAAACTAACATTGATATAGATATTGCTAATACTCATTACTGGCATTCCCAGGAAAAAAGTGACTGTTATTACAGTTATCTATTTAAGTAATAGTGATGAATGGACATACAAAAATTACATAGAGAAGAGAAAATAATTGAATTGGAAGATGGAGGGAGCAAAGAGAACACATGCAAGGAGAGAATAATCACACAGTTCAAATGAAAAAGAGTAAGTCATGATACCCGTTGGCAGTGTTGCAATGATGAGAGATGGTAGGTAATCAGATGTTACTAGATAAAGATGCACAAAGCAGAACACGAACAGAGGCTATGGACATGATTGGGACGCGTTGATAGAAGCCGTATAAAATAGATAGAGAATAACGTTGACTGTGGAAACGAGATACTGATTACGAGAAAAATAGGAGGTTTAAAGATACTTAAAGCCAAGTAAAGTGATAGCTTTGAATTCCTAAATGGAGGAGATATTGCTGTGGTATGGCTGATTAATTAAGGTGATACGTGCACGATCCATACTAATTAGAGGGGTGTGTGTGTGTGGTACAGCGGGTACAGTAGCATTTTTCCTTGGATATATATTTTTTTCTTCTAAAAAGATAATATCATGGATAAACAGTGTGCGTTTAGTAGATGACGTATAAATCTGGTATAAGCCGTTAGATAGGTATGTGAAATATAAAGGGAAAGATGTATTTCACGTCTATTAACATTTGATTGGCTACATAGCACAGACCTATAATAAAAACAAAAAACCTTTCTGAGACTGGGAAATAGGGAGCCTAGTTGGGCTAAATATGTATACATTCATACATGTACGCACGTATACATATTCATACCCATACACAATGTACATATACACATATATACTGCACATACACACCCATATAATATATACACATAAACACACACGCACATACATATGTATGTATATATATACATATATGTACATACGGTATACACACACGCACACACACACACACATATATATGTATATACGTATATATATATACATATACATATATATGCATATGTGTGTGTGTGTGTTTGTGTGTGTATACCGTATGCACACATACATATGTATATGTATGTGTGTGTGTTTATGAGTATGTGCGTATTTATAAGCACACACAAATATACATAAGTACGCATATAAAAACACCAAATACATAAATGTATACAATATATGTAATATACATATATGTATATATATGTATGTATATATGCACATATATATACACATTTATACACTCATATTCACATTTTTCTTATATGCATAACCACATACATGTATATATATACATACACACATATATATATATATAGATATATATATACATATGTAAATATATGTAAATAGTTATATGTATACAGACATGTATATATGCAAGTATATGTGTCTGCATATATATTCATATTATGTATTATATATAAACTATCTCTCTCTTCTATCTATCTATCTATGTAAATATATCGGAACATACACCTTTTCATATCTTTTTTAATCATTTTTGAAATTTCCACTGATATTGCTCCAAAACGTTTACCTATTATTGTTATAATATATATCATCATTAGTTATCCTTATTACCTCGATGGCTAAAAGAAAATTGTACTCACCACAAAGTTCACAGGCTACATTGAGCCTAATATAAGATGAGAGTGGGAGATAAAAGCCCTTTGCTACGATAAGGTCAAGGTTGCAGAATATGGGTGGGACCTACAGGAGTATCGCCAAGGTCAAAATGGGAACTAGTACACGTATATAAAGCCCAGTCAACTGGTTTGCTACATCAGTTCGATCTACATCCGACCAACATGAAGTTTGTGAGTGTCCCAGAGGATAACTAAACTTAGTTTTGAAACGAAACTGAAAAATTCTAGATGAATAATTCTACACTTTTCGTTGTTAACAAACGTATATCACTTAATTATAACGTATTTTCATTTGTCACTACAAGTAATTGGAATCTTCCCATGATTTGATTAGCCTAGCTAATGCAAAATTGCTGCCATATTACACTTGTAACGGGAAAATGCATACACTAACATACACATTCTATATCTAAATACACACACGGTTAATGTAACCACGCATATATGCATATATATATATATATATATATATATATATATAATTTATAACTTAAATTTTTACTTTTAATTAAAATATATTTTCAGATCATCATTGCCTGCGTTGCCACTGTGGCCTTCGCCGCCCCCCAGTACAGCTCAAGCGAAGAAGTTGAGTTTGTGCCAATCCTTAAGGACGACCGCGTCCAAGAGGACGACGGAACATACAGCTTCGACTTCGAAACTGGCAACGGTATCAGCTTCTCCCAGGCTGGATCCCCCGACGGTGATGAGGACGCTGTGATCAAGGCCGGAGAATACTCGTGAGTATTAATAACTTTACGTATGTTCTTAAAAATATGCTAGATTTTATTGTAGTATATAATATCGATTGTAGGCATATCTTCATTTCGTTACTGTAATGTTACAGCTACACCGCTCCTGACGGCACTGAAATCCGTCTACGCTTCGTTGCTGACGACAACGGCTTCCAGCCCGAGGGCGACCATCTGCCCGTGGCTCCCGAGTTCCCCCACCCGATCCCCCAGTTCGTCCTCGACCAGATCGCTAAGGCCGCCGAGGAGGACGCCGCTCGCGCCGATTCTGATGAAAATTAGATCTGGACTTTTTGACGAATTTCTCAATTACTAAAGCTGTACAAATATATGTATTTATTTATTGTATATAATAAATATGCTATGTAAATATTTTGAGTATTTAACTTCGCCCATCGAGGATGAAAAAATATTTCTAAAAGTATGTTGTTTCTTTATTGTTATTATTTAGTTACTATTACGATGATAATAGTAATATTAACATCATTATAATTATTTTGAAGTAGTTACAATGCATACAAAAGTAAGGCCACTGGAGAGGACACCGCCCGCGCCGATTCCGATGAAAATTAATTTAAACTTTTGAGAAATCTTACGGTTCCTGAAGCTATATACAGACAAATGTTTATTTATTGTATATGTTTAAAAATATATGTAAATAGGATCCCTTCTAATTTTTAATTTCCCATATTTTACTTTGTTTAAAGAGAAATATTTTACAACTAGACTGATGTTGAGAAATCACCGTCTCTATTTATATGGTTATAAACCAATTTGATTTAATACATCACTCATACACTAATCATGATTAAATTTTTCACTTAAAGAAAACAAACTAACATTGATATAGATATTGCTAATACTCATTACTGGCGTTCCCAGGAAAAAAGTGACTGTTATTACAGTTATCTGTTTAAGTAATAGTGATGAATGGACATACAAAAATTACATAGAGAAGAGAAAATAATTGAATTGGAAGATGGAGGGAGCAAAGAGAACACATGCAAGGAGAGAATAATCACACAGTTCAAATGAAAAAGAGTAAGTCATGATACCCGTTGGCAGTGTTGCAATGATGAGAGATGGTAGGTAATCAGATGTTACTAGATAAAGATGCACAAAGCAGAACACGAACAGAGGCTATGGACATGATTGGGACGCGTTGATAGAAGCCGTATAAAATAGATAGAGAATAACGTTGACTGTGGAAACGAGATACTGATTACGAGAAAAATAGGAGGTTTAAAGATACTTAAAGCCAAGTAAAGTGATAGCTTTGAATTCCTAAATGGAGGAGATATTGCTGTGGTATGGCTGATTAATTAAGGTGATACGTGCACGATCCATACTAATTAGAGGGGTGTGTGTGTGTGGTACAGCGGGTACAGTAGCATTTTTCCTTGGATATATTTTTTTTTCTTCTAAAAAGATAATATCATGGATAAACAGTGTGGGTTTAGTAGATGACGTATAAATCTGGTATAAGCCGTTAGATAGGTATGTGAAATATAAAGGGAAAGATGTATTTCACGTCTATTAACATTTGATTGGCTACATAGCACAGACCTATAATAAAAACAAAAAATCTTTCTGAGACTGGGAAATAGGGAGCCTAGTTAGGCTAAATATGTATACATTCATACATGTACGCACGTATACATATTCATACCCATACACAATGTACATATACACATATATACTGCACATACACACCCATATAATATATACACATAAACACACACGCACATACATATGTATGTATATATATACATATATGTACATACGGTATACACACACGCACACACACACACACATATATATGTATATACGTATATATATATACATATACATATATATGCATATGTGTGTGTGTTTGTGTGTGTATACCGTATGCACACATACATATGTATATGTATGTGTGTGTGTTTATGAGTATGTGCGTATTTATAAGCACACACAAATATACATAAGTACGCATATAAAAACACCAAATACATAAATGTATACAATATATGTAATATACATATATGTATATATATGTATGTATATATGCACATACATATATATACACATTTATACACTCATATTCACATTTTTCTTATATGCATAACCACATACATGTATATATATACATACACACATATATATATATAGATATATATATACATATGTAAATATATGTAAATAGTTATATGTATACAGACATGTATATATGCAAGTATATGTGTCTGCATATATATTCATATTATGTATTATATATAAACTATCTCTCTCTTCTATCTATCTATCTATGTAAATATATCGGAACATACACCTTTTCATATCTTTTTTAATCATTTTTGAAATTTCCACTGATATTGCTCCAAAACGTTTACCTATTATTGTTATAATATATATCATCATTAGTTATCCTTATTACCTCGATGGCTAAAAGAAAATTGTACTCACCACAAAGTTCACAGGCTACATTGAGCCTGATATAAGATGAGAGTGGGAGATAAAAGCCCTTTGCTACGATAAGGTCAAGGTTGCAGAATATGGGTGGGACCTACAGGAGTATCGCCAAGGTCAAAATGGGAACTAGTGCACGTATATAAAGCCCAGTCAACTGGTTCGCTACATCAGTTCGATCTACATCCGACCAACATGAAGTTTGTGAGTGTCCCAGAGGATAACTAAACTTAGTTTTGAGGCGAAACTGAAAAATTCTAGATGAATAATTCTACACTTTTCGTTGTTAACAAACGTATATCAATTATAACGTATTTTCATTTGTCACTACAAGTAATTGGAATCTTCCCATGATTTGATTAGCCTAGCTAATGCAAAATTGCTGCCATATTACACTTGTAACGGGAAAATGCATACACTAACATACACATTCTATATCTAAATACACACACGGTTAATGTAACCACGCATATATGCATATATATATATATATATATATATATATATATATATATATATAATATATATATATATATAATATATATGTATATGTGTGTGTGTTTGTGTGTGTATACCGTATGCACACATACATATGTATATGTATGTGTGTGTGTTTGTGTGTGTATACCGTATGCACACATACATATGTATATGTATGTGTGTGTGTTTGTGTGTGTATACCGTATGCACACATACATATGTATATGTATGTGTGTGTGTTTGTGTGTGTATACCGTATGCACACATACATATGTATATGTATGTGTGTGTGTTTGTGTGTGTATACCGTATGCACACATACATATGTATATGTATGTGTGTGTGTTTGTGTGTGTATACCGTATGCACACATACATATGTATATGTATGTGTGTGTGTTTGTGTGTGTATACCGTATGCACACATACATATGTATATGTATGTGTGTGTGTTTGTGTGTGTATACCGTATGCACACATACATATGTATATGTATGTGTGTGTGTTTGTGTGTGTATACCGTATGCACACATACATATGTATATGTATGTGTGTGTGTTTGTGTGTGTATACCGTATGCACACATACATATGTATATGTATGTGTGTGTGTTTGTGTGTGTATACCGTATGCACACATACATATGTATATGTATGTGTGTGTGTTTGTGTGTGTATACCGTATGCACACATACATATGTATATGTATGTGTGTGTGTTTGTGTGTGTATACCGTATGCACACATACATATGTATATGTATGTGTGTGTGTTTGTGTGTGTATACCGTATGCACACATACATATGTATATGTATGTGTGTGTGTTTGTGTGTGTATACCGTATGCACACATACATATGTATATGTATGTGTGTGTGTTTGTGTGTGTATACCGTATGCACACATACATATGTATATGTATGTGTGTGTGTTTGTGTGTGTATACCGTATGCACACATACATATGTATATGTATGTGTGTGTGTTTGTGTGTGTATACCGTATGCACACATACATATGTATATGTATGTGTGTGTGTTTGTGTGTGTATACCGTATGCACACATACATATGTATATGTATGTGTGTGTGTTTGTGTGTGTATACCGTATGCACACATACATATGTATATGTATGTGTGTGTGTTTGTGTGTGTATACCGTATGCACACATACATATGTATATGTATGTGTGTGTGTTTGTGTGTGTATACCGTATGCACACATACATATGTATATGTATGTGTGTGTGTTTGTGTGTGTATACCGTATGCACACATACATATGTATATGTATGTGTGTGTGTTTGTGTGTGTATACCGTATGCACACATACATATGTATATGTATGTGTGTGTGTTTGTGTGTGTATACCGTATGCACACATACATATGTATATGTATGTGTGTGTGTTTGTGTGTGTATACCGTATGCACACATACATATGTATATGTATGTGTGTGTGTTTGTGTGTGTATACCGTATGCACACATACATATGTATATGTATGTGTGTGTGTTTGTGTGTGTATACCGTATGCACACATACATATGTATATGTATGTGTGTGTGTTTGTGTGTGTATACCGTATGCACACATACATATGTATATGTATGTGTGTGTGTTTGTGTGTGTATACCGTATGCACACATACATATGTATATGTATGTGTGTGTGTTTGTGTGTGTATACCGTATGCACACATACATATGTATATGTATGTGTGTGTGTTTGTGTGTGTATACCGTATGCACACATACATATGTATATGTATGTGTGTGTGTTTGTGTGTGTATACCGTATGCACACATACATATGTATATGTATGTGTGTGTGTTTGTGTGTGTATACCGTATGCACACATACATATGTATATGTATGTGTGTGTGTTTGTGTGTGTATACCGTATGCACACATACATATGTATATGTATGTGTGTGTGTTTGTGTGTGTATACCGTATGCACACATACATATGTATATGTATGTGTG